CAGTAGAGAACTTCAAATGTGAAAGTGGAAGCATGAGCTCAATGTAATAACGTTGATGTATTACCATGAGAAAAAAATTTGAAACAACAAAATTACATGGTTTGAATCAGAAGAATAAACTCATTGGCCTAATGGTCAAACTGAAATTGTTTGGTGGGTAGGGCTTTTCCTAAATTTATTTATTTTTACATGGGCAAGTGTCTTGGCGAGTCACACCTCAACTAATTTCACCAAACAATCGTCTAACCCTCGAACATGTAGTTGACATGAAAATACATAAAATATTATATCCAAGGTAGATGACCATCGAGAATTGAACCCATTTCCTCTTATTTGTCCAAGGCTCTAATGACCACTAGGCGTTATCCCTAAATTAATTAGTAGGATAAGATTAGATTTAGAAAATTCTAGGATTGACCCTTCTTATGTAGGCCTCGCTTTTGTCTGTTGTTATTTACTTTATTTTAATGGAAGGCCAGGTTTCTCTCTTTTTTCTAAGAAGAAAACATATAAGTGTCCCAACTATGGGAATGGAGCCCGCAAAAGAAGGGTATTATCCATTTAAGTTGACTGAAGAAAAGGATTTCCCTTTATATATAGCCTATAAAAAGTTTTTGTGGGTCATCCTTTTCCATGGTGTGTAAAGATCTTTTAGTTGGCTATAACCGAGTTTTCTTTTGGTTTTTTACAAGAGGAACGCACGTATTCTCAGTGCAGGATTTGATTTTATTTCGTGCTTTGTATGAGTGCAAACATAGACACCCTTTAAGAGATTATAGTCTATCTTCTTTGATTTCTGATTGGAGAGCACTTTTGTAATTCACCTTTTGGTATTTGGAGCCCACTCAACTCCTTGCAGTTCACTCATCCATGAAAAAATAAATTCATATGCATGGATAAAAAATAAATCAATATGAACCTCAAGGTGTAACATTGATCGATAGCTCTTTAGAGGAACCTAGCCTTGTTAGTATCAAAAAAATGTCTAAATCTATGATGAGGACCATAATAAACAAAAGATAAGGTATTTTTGCTAGAACTCAACCTAAATGAGGTGAGTAGTGGTATAGCTAAAACAAAAGATCGGCCAAAGGAATAAGATTGTCATTCACCAAATTAGTCAAGGTTTTTGAGCCAATAAATGATCAACTCCACAAAAGGGTAAAGATTACACATCTAAAACTCGTGCTCCCACCATCAATTTCAAAACGACAAACCAATCTACAAGATATTCTCATGCCTAAGAGGATCAAACAAAATGCCTCCAATCTAAGTTGATAGAAAAGATAAGAGTAATTACAAAAAGGTTTGTGAATGGCATTTAACTTATCTTTGAAAAGCTTCTCACTCTTTTCCTTCCAAGTCAGCTCTAATAGCATGTAACCAAAGCATTCTTGCTTTATCCCTAAACCACCAATCCGAAAGCAACTTCGGGAGTCATTCCTCAGCATCCTTACAAGGACACCAACTCGACCCAAATGAGAAAACCTATCGTGTTGAGTGTTAACGCTGTTCAGTGAAGCGTCCACATAAATAATTTTGCTATTTAAGGACTCTTGCATTCCTAAACCAGCTCACTAACAAAAGGATTGAGGATTCATATCAGTTTGCTAAACTTGTTTTCGAGTATTAACACTCTCAATCTATGTTCAGCATCACTACTAGGGGGAAAAATCAACATTAGTTCAAGCTTATCATCAGAAGAAGAGAAAAAATGGGAAAATGAAACTATACCTTGTACATACACAAGTCAGACATTCCTTCAAGATTCTTTATCCACCATTTAAGAAGCATAAAACTGTTTGATACAATCCCATGTCTCAATCACGAACTTGCCCAGCAGTGAATCTGAATTAAGAATAAGAGAAAAATGAAACAACACTTTCTCAGGCTCTTACTTATGGAGACTGTAAAGGGGAAAACAGCAGAAAAATGTGAAGAAGAAAGCTAGTAAGATTTCTTTCACTAATTCTAGTAATAAATATCATTTTTTCAGGAAAGGGGCATGCTATTTGAGGAATTTGATTATTTCTTCTTCAGGAAGCTTTTTTCCCTTTGCAGTACAGGTCAAACAAACACGCCAAACAATTAAATTTTGCTCTTATTAGATCTATTATTTCCCTTCCAGCAAGTTAAGCCAAAAGTGATCTTAAAAAGGCATATTGATTCAGAGGGTTTCCAGAGGAAAAAAAGAAAATGAATTCATGAACCATATACAGTGAAAAAAGGTTGAATATTATAGGGAATCACAGCCACAAAAATAAAAATACAGTTTCAAACAAGAAGCATCCCCTCTTTCAATTAATCCATCAGAAACTCAATCATTTCACATCCTTTCAGTGAAACCAACTCCCATCAAACAATTCCAGAAAACCCTTTTGAATTCCAACCCACTTTCTCAGCAACCAAACAGCTAACAAATCGAGCCACCACTAAAAAAACCCCATAAACCAAAGCAAAAATTCATAAACTCCCACCAATTTTACTCCCTTTCAGTGAAACCAAATCTCATCAAACAATTTCAGAAAACCCTTTTCAATTCCAATTCCCAACCCACTTTCTCAGCAACCAAACAGCTCAAAACCCCATAAATAGCTGAAAATAGAATCACAAAAAGAAGAAGAAGAAGAAACTACAACAAAAATCAGAAGAACCAGTAGCGATCCACGAAAAAAATTATAAAAAAAAAAAAAAAAAAAAAAAA